AAGTGCATCTGCTGTTGTCTCTCACATCAAAATCCAGCCACATATGTGTTTAGATCTGTTTAAATGGTGCTTGATCTGTGCAGATTTCTCTCCTGATTGAGACCAGATTTTTCACTGGAGAAAGCAATATTATGGATAGAGGACGATAGAGGATAGCCAGAAGTAAAAAATGTCTTGATGGATTTGTTTCAGCTTTTGTCTTCTCCAGATGTTAACTGATGGACTGGAGTGCTGTGGATTACTTGTGCCTGACGGCATCATCACAACATGGTAAGGGGCGTAACATTTCTGTCACACACTTGAGGTATTCGGCCAATCACAACGCACTGGATAGCTGGCCAATCACAGCACACCTTGCTTTTCAGACCGATGAGCTTTGTAAAAATCGACGCGTTTCAGAAAGGCGGGGCATAGAGGAGAAACAATAATGTACAATATGTGGAAAATAATGTGTTTTTTGAACCTTAAACCGCATAAACACATTTCATTACACCAAATACACAACATAATGTTCTTTTTAGCAGCATCATATGACCCCTTTAATTTTGGATCCTGGGCCAAACTTTTGTGTTACTTATTTAGTCTCTTGCTTACCAAGAAGGTTGTTTTTTTACGAAACAGTGTTTCCTGTTTTCATATTGTATGTCAGACATTCATTCTTTCATAAGACATACATTTAAAATATTAATTCTTGGCCAAAATATCATTTGTTTTACTTATTAAGTCTCTTGCTCACCAACAAAGTTGTTGCTTTTAACAGCATTTTTTCATATTGTATGTCAGACATTCTGCTTTCAGATGATGTGTATTTAAAATATTTATTGTTTGCTCTTTTCTTGTATTTATTTTAACAGTTTGCATGTTTTATTTTTAATTTTAAAAAAAATTCTGTAAAGCAGATGGGTTAAGGAAAGAGCACAGGAGTAAAGGCTTTTCATAACCCCCTGTGAAAACTGTGAGGTTCTTTGTGAGGTTGTGAGAAGCCCTGCATATTCTCTGAGTAGTTTTATTGATGGCAAACCCCAGAGAGAATTTAATAAACAAACACAAAAGGGGCAGATGATGTGCAGAATGTTATGAGTGCGTGTTTATGTGTGTGTGTGTGTGTGTGTGTGTGTGTGTGTGTGTGTATGGAGGGAGAGAATTTAATAAACAAACACAAAAGGGGCAGATGATGTGCAGAATGTTATGAGTGCGTGTTTATGTGTGTGTGTGTGTGTATGGAGGCTGACAATGATCCCAAATATTATTTTCATAACCAGTGCAAAGAACATTTTAAATCATTGCATATCATATGCATTATGAGAAATCTGTTTCATTTTCATCGGTGTTTTAATTTTTCCTTTGTTTCTCTTTTATTTAATCATTTGACTTACATTTTTATTTTGCAGTGATGCTCTAAAGAGAATAAAATTAATATGTATTATCATGTCTGGTTTGTGTGTCTGTTGTGATCTGCAAAACAAAACACGTGTTAAACACCCTTTGAAGAATTTATAATGTAGGAATTTTGCAGATGACTTACAATTAATTCGCTGAAGAAAAAAAACATTCTAGGAAAGGTATATTAAACAATGTTTTCCCTTTCGCTTGCTCACTGAGTTATTAACCCTCTGATGCATGAAAATATATTTTGATGCTTCTTTTTTACCTTGCTTCTTTCAGAATTGCGTGATACAAACTCGCAATTCTGACTTTTTTTCTCAGAATTGTGAGATATAAACTCGCAATTGCGAGTTATGAAGTCAGAATTGTGAGATATAAAACTCAGCCCATTTCGTGTCATGGTTTCTCTGCCACCACAGAGGATGTATTAAATTGGACATTAGGCCTTGATATCCGAGGTACTGCTACAAATTTTGAGCAAATAAATCTCTATTAATTCATATGCATCCATGCTCTCGTTTCTTCATAGTAAGATGGCAGTGACGCACAAAGGAAATGTGTTATAGCATATAAAACTAGAAAATGTAACGCGTAAGCATGCAAAATATTCCCGTTCACGTGTGAATAGTTTCTCGAGGGCATGAAAAAGTTTCTTGTGTGCATGCAAAAGTCTGTATGTATGTATGATAGAAAATCAATGAAGAAAAAAACCCTGAGAAAATAAACAATATTTACAGATGACTGTACTATATACCAAATATAAAACTGAAAATAATGCAGTATGAACCATTTATGTTAAATATGGCCTGAAAATCAACTGAGAGGTTTGGATATTTGAGTCTGGAAAAGTATGGATTTTTTCAATGGAAAATGTGTAGGAACCCTGATAACTGTTTTGCAGCAAGCGCTTGATTGAGGTCCTCTATATTTCAGGTGTTTGCTGAGAATAAGGATGAGGTGGGTTTGGTGCTGTTTGGTACCGACAGCACTAAGAACCGTCTGGCCAAAGACGGCCAGTATGAGAACATCACGGTTCACCGTCACCTCATGATGCCTGATTTTGAGCTGCTTGAGGACATTGAGAGCAAACTGCAACCTGGTGGTCAGCAAGCGGACTGTATCCTTCCAGTTACCCTACAAATGTTGATAAGACAACAACACACGTTATAGATCTCACGAGGCGATCGGTTAAAGGAATAGTTCACACAAAAATGATATTGTGCTGAACGTTTACTCACCCTCAGGTCATCCAAGATGTAGATGAGTGTGTGTCTTCAACAGATTTGTAGAAATGTAGCATTGCATCAGTGTCTCAGCAATGGATCCTCTGCAGTGAATGGGTGCCGTCAGAATGAGAGTCCAAACAGCTGATAAAAACATCACAATAATCCACTCTATTGAAGTGGAAAGCTGTGTGTTTGTAATAAATTCATTATTAAGACATTTTTAACTTCAAACCGTCGCTTCCAGCTAAAATATGAATCCATAATCCATAATAACTGCTTCCTCTAGTGAAAAAGTGGTCTGATCTGAATCAGGAGAGAAATCTGCACAGATCAAGCACCGTTTACAAGCCAAAACAGCTCTGAACAAATATGTGGGTGGATTTTGATGAGAGAGACAACAGGAGGTGTACTTTTTCACTGAGGAAGCGTTATTATGGATTATGGACTTTTAGTCTGAAACAGTGGCTTGAAGTTAAAAACGTCTTGATGGATTTGTTTCATCTTTTGTCTTCTCTAGATGTTAACTGATGGACTGGAGTGCTGTGGATTACTTGTGGATTATTGTGATGTGAAACGATGAAGACTTTAGCTGGAGAAGATGAAGTGTTCTCTCATGGGAGAAACACGTTATTATTTAAAGCAGCTGCAATTATTTCTGTCCTAACTTATAAAGTTTGGTGAAATTATTTAAGATTCAAATATGGGAAAAATCTAAATATTGAGAAAATCATCTTTAAAGTTGTTCAAATGAAGTTCTTAGCAATGCATATAACTAATCAATTGATCTATTTACGGTAGGAAATTTACAAAATATCTTCATGGAACATGATCTTTACTTAATATCCTAATGATTTTTGGCATAAAAGAAAAATCTATAATTTTGACCCATACAATGTATTTTTGGCTATTGCTACAAATATACCCCAGCGACTTAAGACTGCTTTTGTGCTCCAGGCTCACATATAGGAGCAGAAAGCCTTAAATTGCTAATGTCATGGCATGGCTTTGCTGAAAATTAATATCGTCCTCAGTATTTTTGTCTTGATTTCCAATACAAATATCTAAACATCCTTAAATTTACTTCAGATGCAAAATGAAGATATGAAGTCTTGTTTTATGAGAAACTGAACAAAATTAAGTGAGTTTATGCTTAAGAGCAAATATCTGTCAATGGGGATTGAAAACTTGTTTTCTCATTGAATTAAGTTGATTTTTCTTTTTAGTCATAAACTCACTTCATTTTGATCAGTTTCACAGAAACTTGCATTTTCAAACTTTGAAGTGTTGCTAATGCAACTTTCTGCTCCCTAGACATTTACATTTAGAGAACATATTGATGTATTGTGTTCCCGTCCATTTTTTCCTAACAATTTCTTTACTTGGTCTTAAAAAGTCTTAAATTTACTTTTTTTTAAACTTGTAGAAATGCTGACTGAAACTAAATTGAGTTGAATAATGACACTATTGTCTTCTGTAGAGCTGCTTAAATGACATGAAATACATCCGGATATTTCAAACAGATTTTTAATCTCTTTTAAAACTAGATTAGATCAAGTGGTATTTACCAGATGTGGCATAGGTCATACAAGACTGACTCATGCATTTTTGCTTAAAGGTGAAGACCCTACTCAATGTATGCTTTGCAAGGTTCCCCTTTCTGTTAAACATATTTTATTGGACTGTCCAGCTTTTAATGTACCATATTTTAAGAATATTTGCGATAACGATATTTATGACGATATAGACAATGTATATTTTTTCTTGGACTGTCCAGCTTTAAATGTACAGAGAAAACTCTTTTATGAAGTGAACTCACTTAAAGAGTTATTTAGTAAAATTTTGCCAGGAAAAGTTTTAGAATTGTTATCACATGTTAGTGTAAAAAAATCTTGTGTGATATAACTTGTTTGTTTGCTGGTTTTTATTGTATTTGTTATTTTTTTTAATTGTTTTTGCCATGAAAATAGCCTTTGAATAAATATATATACTATACTATGTAGAGCTGCTTTACAGCTGAAATTGATTTTGTTTTATAATTGATGAATTCTGCAACATTAACTGTTCTTTATCTGTTTATTTTTGTGAAGCTGTTTTGGCACAGTCTATATTGTAGAAACTGCTATATAAATAAATGTGACTGTGTGCTTGGCTGCACTAAACAGTAGATGGTGCCCTTTTCAAACGAGTGCATTTTATCTTATGGGCTTACCTGATCTAGATTCTATAGTGACTACAAGATCTTGTTATACTAAGCTTTGTGAGTGCAATGTTTATGAAATCTCTCTAAAACTTGAAAAGAGTGTGAGAACCCCGACAGGACAAAATAGGAAGCTACCGATAACAAATTGTGTGGTCAGTATGACGATTATTTAAGCACATACTCCAGAATCAAGTAGTTTTACAGAAAAACTTCATTATATGTGTAAATTTCAGCATTTTGTACTGTACTGATGTGTTTTGCCTTGTTTTTCCCATAATAATGTACAGTGACAGATGTTTATTTGTCTGTTTGATGCAGATTCATTGTCATCAGTTTATGGGAATCCAAGTTGTCAAAGTTGCAAAGTTTTTGCTCCCAGAGATGATGAGGTGAGTTCCTCTGTGAATTTGCTATAATCAGTTCAGTAAGTATCAGTAATTGTGATGTTTGAATACATGCTGTAGCGACAAAAAGGCTGAGGGCGCATCTAAAATGATTTTCATTTTAACCTGGAAATTAGCAAAGTATTAGGGTTTTGAAAAAAGTAATATAATGTGAAATTAAGAATATTTATCAGTAACTAATCAAACGTGGCATTCTAATATTCATGTCCATTTGTCACTCAAATTATTATGTTGATAGTATATTCTGTAATTACACTACTGTTCAAAAGTTTGGGGTTGGTATGATTTTTTATGTTTTTGAAAAATGTTTTATATTTTTTTAATTTATTTGTACTGTAAAAATAGTGAAATATTTTTAAAATTTAAAATAAGTTCTTTATGTGTCGGTATATTTTAAACTGTAATTTATTCCTGTGATCAAAGCTGTATTTTCAGCATCATTACTCCAGTCTTCAGTGTCACATGATCTTCAGAAATCATTCTAATATGTTGATTTGCTGCTCGAGAAACGTTTATGATTATTATCCATGTTGAAAACAGTTGTGCTGCCAAATATTTTTGTGGAAACCGTGATGCTTTTTATTTTTTCAGGATTCACAGATGAATAGAAAGTTCAAAAGAACAGCATTTATTTGAAATGGAAATATTTTATAAATATTATAAATGTTTTTACTGTCACGTTTGATCAATTTAATGCATCCTTACTTAATAATTTTTTATATTAATTTATAAAAAAAAACAATTAGCTGACCTCAAACTGTTGAACAGTAGTGTAATATGTGACCCTGGAGCACAAAAGCAGTCTTAAGTCGCTGGGGTATATTTGTAGCAATAGCCATTAAAGATGAATAGTTTTATTGTATGTATGCAGCATGCAGCAGTGGTGCTGTCCACTCTGATTCTCCCTCGACAGTCTAAAGAAGGCAGCGATTGTGCGTTATGCTTACAATCATCGCAGCAACCCTCAAGTGGGCGCCGCTTTTCCCTGCATAAAGGAGAAATATGAAGTATGTGGATTCACATCAAACAGAAAACACACTATAAATGATTCATCTTCAGTATGTTGCACACCAGAGTCACTCCTCATGTCTCTTGTCCTCAGTGTCTGCTGTACGTGCAGCTGCCGTTTATGGAGGATCTCCGACAGTTCACTTTCCCAGTGCTGGACAACAACAAGAAGTTCACGCCTTCAGGTTGGTCCTCACATAACCACCCTCAAAACAGGAGCCGGTTTCTAGCAGATGTGTATACAGCTCACCTGTATTCATTGAATTCTGCACCATTATCCTGCATCAGCTATTTCTTTGGTCTTCTCAGGGTTTCTGCAGGTCTTAAAAAGTCTTAGTTTGCCCTTCTACAAATTAAGGCCCCAAAAGGTCTCAAATCATAGCAGAAAGTCTTAAACTCATAATTCAGTCATGGCATTAAATGTTGCATGCATTGCATTAAATTTAATATCTTTGTCAGTATTTTTATTTTGCTTTCCAATACAAATATCAGAACATCATTAAATGCAAAATCAAGTCTTGTTTTTTTTGTTTTTTGAGAAATTTATCAAAAGGAAGTGAGTTTATGATAAAACGAGAACAAATATCTGTCAATGGGGAATGAACTTGATTTCATTTTGAATAAAGTAGATTTTTTTTTCTGAGCCCATTAGCAGATATTTGTCCTTTTTCATCATAAATTCACTTCCTTTTGATAAATTTCTCAGGAAAAAAGACGACTTATCATGTGTCGTGTTTGCATTTTTATTTAAAAAAAAAAAGTTTAGACATGCACTGAGAAGTAGCTGAGGAAGAGCAGCAGTTTTGTGCAGTGTGTTCAGAAGATTATTTATTTATTATTATTTAGTCATTTAGCAGACGCTTTTATCCAAAGCGACTTACAAATTAGAACAACAGAAGCAATCAATTGTAGTATTAAAACAACTAAAAACAGATCCGAAACTTAAGGCTAAAACTGTATAAATACTACTTATACACATTTTAAAAATAAAGAAATTAAATGAAAATGACAAATGCATACAACAAAATTTAAAAACGTAACATTTACATGAAAAACGTACTGTAGAAGTACTGTAAACTGTAGTTTACTGTAGAAGATACAGTAAAAGTTAGTTCCATATTCTAGTTAAGCTATTTTTGGTAAAAAAAAGTAATGGAGATCGGTTAGAAGTTATATTTGCAAACTTTGAAATGCTGCTAATTCAACTCATTGTGTTTCTCCTTAGACATTGTGCTTATTCCTTACATTTTCTTTAATTGGTCTTGAAGTCTTAAATTTGCCTTCATGAAACTTACAGAAAGCCCGTCTTCTGAGGCACATCCAGACTAAAGGAGACGAATGTTGATGCTGTTGGTTGACTGTGATGGTCTCTGTGTGAATGTCTCTGGTCAGAGTCTCGGCTGTCAGCCGTCGACGCCCTGATCGACTCCATGATGCTGGTGCAAAAGGATGATGATGGAGAGAGCGTGGATGTCTTCAAAGTCAACCACATTCCAAACCCACAGTTCCAGAGACTTTTCCAAGCATGATGGGACGGGGTGGTGGATGTTTCTCTGTTTTTATCAGCCTGATAATATTTGATGCAGTCATAAAAGTCAAATACATTTGCATTATGCATTTAGCTGATGCTGCTTGTATGCAAACTGACTTACAAAAGAGGAGCAAAAGCAATTCATAGATTCAGAATGTTGAATGTAAAAAAAATCAAGGATTTTCACACTAAATAAACTCAAGGAAGAATAATATTTAAGCATTTTCATTCATATGCATAAATGTAAGTAACTATACATAGTCATAAACATAAATATTTACCTATTTATTTTGGTTACACTTTTTCAATTAGTAGATCATTTAATAGCTAATATAAACAAAAAATTAATAATACCTTTACAGCATTTATTAATCTAGGTGAAAATTAATTTAAACATATACTGTGATTTATTAGTTAATACATCTTGAAAATACACGAACACTTACTAATAAACAAATATTTAAGTATTTTCAAGTTGTGTAAATTGATGAACCATAGTATATGTGTAAATTAATTTTAACCTAGAATAATAAATGTTTTTCATTGTTAGTTCATAATATTAAAAGTTTGGAGTCAGTAGAATTTTTTTTTTTTTTTAATGTTTTTGAAAGAAGTCTCTTCTGCTCACCAAGGTTGCATTTATTGAATCAAAAATACAGTAAAAACAGTAATATTGTGAGATGTTATTACAATTTCAAATAACTGTTTTCTATTTGAATATATAGTAAAGTGTAATTTATTTCTGTGATCAAAGCTGAATTTTCAGCATCGTTACTCCAGTCTTCAGTGTCACATGATCTTCAGAAATCATTCTAATATGCTGATTTTCTGCTCGAGAAACATTTCTGATTATTATCAATGTTGAAAACAGCTCAATATATTACGCAGACACCATGATGTACTCCCATTCAAAAGTTTGGGGTATGCGTTTTTAATAAAAATTAATGCTTTTATTTAGCAAATATGCATTAAATTGATCAAAAATTCTATTTTTAAAAAAGCTTTTCTTTTGAACTTTCTATTCATCCAGTCTTCAGTGTCACATGATCCTTCAGAAATCATTCTAATATGCTGATTTGCTGCTCCAGAAACATTTCTGATTATTATCAATGTTGAAAACAGCTCAATATATTACGCAGACACCATGATGTACTCCCATTCAAAAGTTTGGGGTATGCGTTTTTAATAAAAATGAATGCTTTTATTTAGCAAATATGCATTAAATTGATCAAAAATGACAGTAAAGACATTTATAATGTTACAAAAGATTCCTATTTCAAATAAATGCTGTTCTTTTGAAC